CATCTTTGATGATACCAGCCCAAACCAGTACTCCACCTCCACCTTGCTGGCGTCTGAGTCGGACTGGAGCTCTCTGCCCTTTACCAATCCAGCCACGGGCCCATCCATCTGGCCCATCAAGACTCACTCTCATGTCATCAGTCCAGAAAACCTTAGAAAAACCAGTCTTGAGATATTTCTTGGCCCAGTCTTGACGTTTCAGCTTGTGTGTCTTGTTCAGTGGTGGTCGTCTTTCAGCCTTTCTTACCTTGGCCATGTCTCTGAGTATTGCACACCTTGTGCTTTTGGGCACTCCAGTGATGTTGCAGCTCTGAAATATGGCCAAACTGGTGGCAAGTGGCATCTTGGCAGCTGCACGCTTGACTTTTCTCAGTTCATGGGCAGTTATTTTGCGCCTTGGTTTTTCCACACGCTTCTTGCGACCCTGTTGACTATTTTGAATGAAACGCTTGATTGTTCGATGATCACGCTTCAGAAGCTTGTTGTGTTGATGTCATTAGACCACACCCCTTCTCATTACAGAGATGCACATCACCTAATATGCTTAATTGGTAGTAGGCTTTCGAGCCTATACAGCTTGGAGTAAGACAACATGCATGAAGAGGATGATGTGGACAAAATACTCATTTGCCTAATAATTCTGCACTCCCTGTACTTCACTTCGTTCCCTGGCAGATTGTTTCTGCACTCACAGCAGGGAAGTGTGTTGGCCATTCCTTGTCTTTCCCTTGAATGATCTCTTGTCTGTTTTACGTTTGCCTTCTGCCTGATATTCGCCTCACATGGACTCAAAGACTTGCTCTAAATGCAGTCTTGCCTGGTAATAATTTTGCCTTCCTCTGCTGTCCTCTTACCTGTGAACCACAACAATGGGAATAGTAGGGCTACATCAGCCTGACTGCACTGCATTTCTTAACTATCTTGTTTTTGAAAAAACATTTCTAGTTTTTATGCAACTTTCCAAGTTCCTCCTATTCAGAAGTAAGGCTCACATACCTCATAGACTTTCTATCTTTTTTTGCAGTATTTGATTAATATTAGTAAGTTTAGTCGAGCCGAGTGGATATTTTCCCCAAGCCCCTGATAAGATGTGTATTAATAAGTTGAGCACAGCATTATATCCCTTTGTTATTGGGAAAAAATGGAAAGCATTTCAGTGTGTGGAGGATTAGTCGATATTCAATTAACCCAGGCAGACAGTCATGGTGACTCTTTATCAATACCTCTTTTTAACTGCACACCCGCAGCACACTTAATTAAACTTCCCATTAATAGCATCAAGCAAGTTAGAAAACTAACAACACAAACACTCGCATAAGTTTGGAAAAGTGATCCAAATCCGTACAAGCACCAAGTGGTTATCAAAGGCAGTCGGCCAAGCTGCTGCACTGGCCTCAGGTCTCGGCTGTGATCATAGATGCTCTCAGTCCAGTTGTGGAGACAAAGGAGGAGGAGGAGGCTGTGTGTTTTGGACATGGCACAATTGCGTGTCCTCAAACTATTTGTCTGGTTATTGATGTGTATCTGGGACACCCTGTGACTCTTGACCCTGAAATCATTAATTTCCGTGCATTCCACAGCTGGGTTTATGAAAGCCCTCCCTCACATGGCTCAGTGCAGAGCGTGGTTATGACTATGAGGGAAGAGCTTCGAGATTCTTTTAGAAAAGCAGTAATTTTGAAATAACATAAAGCCTTCTATGTAAATCAAGAGCCCTCTGATAACCCTATCCTTATTCCAGACCGTGCTACATTTCTCTTTGATAATCAGCTACAAATCAGGGCCAGTGTGCCAACTGGGGCAGCGATGTGACTGTCTAGACAGTGATAATGATCTGCTAACATGTCTGTGCTGCTGTAGATCTTCTCTACTAACTGTAAGCAATAATTGTTCTCTATGGGAATAACTAGATGTGCATTTAACAGTAGCTATTATGGGAGACCTTGCAAAAAAAAGATTAGAGGCCACTGTTTTCCTATCCATACAAAGCTGCAGTACAAAGAAGGGTAAGTCAACCCTCATAAAGTGAATCGAATGTTAGTGTTGGCATATTTACAAACTAACTTCAACGAAAGTGTACAACCCATTTCCCTATAAAAAAATTTTTGTGTGTGTGAGTTAACATTATATGTACTTGGTATTTAGTTTACACCCAAATATCCAATTTGTTGCAATACTCATCAACAAATGTTAGGTGTTATAATTGCAAACATGATTAAAGATGCAAAGACGTTCAGTTTAAAATTATACAGTGTTCACAAAAGTCTTTAGCAACACCTCATTTCTTTATATTCTGCTTCCATGGAGCCACATTTTCTTTTAATTTGTCAAAAGTGGTCTTGAGCAATAGTTCACCAGGCTTTCTGCTGGCCTTGTAAAGTTTTTGCTTGGACATTGACTGCTTTTTTACCAAGAACCAAGTTTTAATTGTGATATTAGGTGCTCTGTTTCTAGCAGCTGTCACAAAAACACATAATTTGTTTCCACTTCTATGAAAAATACTAAAGATAACACAGTTTAATAGGGATAAAATAGTGTTATGGACCAACAGGTTTATTTCAAGACATTTTAGCTAAAAACTTGGAACGTCTAACACAGTCCGCTAAAAATATTAGCAGAAACTGGACATGTGGATGACTGAAGAAGTGGGAGACCTAAAAAAAAATTACAAAATCTACAGATGAACAATATCTGAAAGTCCTTAAGAGTTAGGCAGAAAATATCCAGCAAAAACCTGAGTGATGCTTTGTTGAAGCCTGATCACAAATGGCCTGAATGGAAAGGTGGCATTAAGAAGTGGTATTAAGAAGCCCTTCTTAATGGAAGGAAACAAGGAGAGAAGGTTGAGGGTTGATCTTGTCAGAATTGATGAAATTATGAACACAGAAAAGTACTGCCAGATTTTGATCCACAGTTTGGAAAGCGTCTGATTGGCAACAACTTCATTTTGTGGCTCAAGAGTTTTGCACAGTAATTTTTAAGCCCTGGAAAAGAATTTTTTCTCAAATTTGAGCAAAGCAGCATTCACACTTGATGACATTAATATTTAATCTGTTTTCAAAACTGTTGTGCAGATTCTGTTAATGGCCTTATCAGCTGATTGACTAATCGTGTCAGCTCTACTTAAGACCAAGAAAGAGTCCCAGCTGGATTCACTGCTTCAGAACTTTAAAAATGCAGCGTGCCATTAATAATTTGTTAATAAAATCAGCTTTTTCTCCTGCTCCAGCCAAAGATAATGACATGTAGTAAAAATATTCTTAACATTTTAGAGGCACAGCTGCTTACAGGTATAGACACGTTATTCAAAATCACTTGTGTCTTAATTAAATCAGTCCTAATTAACCTGAAGCAGTATCTTCAATAGTTAATGATTTTAAAGAGATAGCATCCTGTTTCCATTTTCATTTTGACCAGGCAGTATAGCGTAATATTTTTCATCAAAGGACGGACACTGGCTTTACAGAGTAAAATAGTTGAGTCAAAGTAGAGGAGTCAAGGCCACATAACCCAAACAACACCAACATTCTGAGGACTTTATTGTAAAACAGTATGCAGTGAACAGACTACCGGTGCAACTAACAAGTTGTGTGTCTCATTTGGTTGTCAATCTCCCGAGCCCGCTGTCCCATCTTTGTTTGTCACTCTGTGCCGTTGCGTGAATACCAATGAACAGCGAGCCGTTATCACCTGAGCCTCGGATGACAGCATCTCAGTGATGTATTGCTCATCAGCCTCTGTTTCGTGCCAGACAGGATGTGTTTTCTTACTTGGAAAATGAAAATGTCAAATGCAGATCTTTAGTTGTGACGGCTCAGCAATATCCCAGATTGTTTTAAGTTAAGATGCACAGCCTAACCCATCTCTAACCTTTTAGATGCGTGATGGAGTTTTACAGCTGTACAGATAAGAAACGATGCCGCCGCGTTTATTTCCTGTGCTTGCTGATAAGCCGAAATATAATTCTCCAAACTGCTTTTGATCAAAGATGTGAAACTTTACTGTGTTCCCGCCACAACTCCATTGTAATTCTCCAGGCCTCTTCTGTTACCGTGTAGCCCGTTAGAGGGCTGTTCCTCCGTCCTCTACTAAGTTTGTTCTGAATGTTGAAATGTTTTCCCCTTGGGTGCCTTGTGCCAGCCCCCTTCCTCTTCCACCGATGTGGGGGTGAGCTTTCCCAGGACAAAGAGAAGAATATATAAAGGAATGGGGGGAAGGGGGGGGGGTCGGAGAGACAAAAAGACAGCGGGTGTGTGAGCAAAGGAGGCCAAGTGAAAAGATATAGAGGGCTTGACAAGTGCTTGTCAAAGGGCTCAATACTGCTGGCAAGCTTTGAGTGTGGGGATACAGAGAGAGGAAGAAGGACAGAAAAACAATCTGTACTTTTCCCCCCTATTACAAACCCAATTGCTCACTCCTTACAGACTCCACAGGGTGTGGGGTACACACCACGCTCTGTGTTTAGAGAGTTACTGGAGAGCAGCTCAGTCCAACTGCACCCCCACCATCTCCCCTAGTCCTCCTGCACATGGTACAGTCCATTTAAAAGGCTGCATGTCATCTCAGTGTGTGCAGGGTCCTCTCTGAGAGCAGCTGCTCACAGCACATTCTCCTCTGCGGGAGCATTCACTTTCCCCTCCGCCTGCTGGGCTGCATCTTTTTCTCCCCTGCCTTTTTTTCTTTCTCTTCCTGCTCCCTTTGGTTTCTCTCTTCCCCTCTTTCTCCCGCGCTCACTCTCTCCTCTCGCACACACATGCTTTCTCTGACTCTGTAGTGCTTGGACACATTCTTTATGCAGTAACAGGTAGACATCATCCCTGTACTGCCGGCTTTTTTTTTTTTTTATGTGCGAAGTACACTGTGAGAGAAAAAGCACAGGTGGAGTAGGAGAAGAAGAAGAAGAGGGTGATAAGAGGTGGCGGAGGAGGAAAGGGTCTTAACTTCACCTCCTGTAATGCTTCTCTTGACACCATGCTGCTCTGTGTGGATTTGGTCCTCAGGGGAAAATCCTTAAAATGATGGAAGACAACAAACAGCTGGCACAGAGGATTGATGGGGCCATCCAGTCTGCCAGCCAGGAAGTGACCAACCTGCGCTCCGAGCTCTCCGCCACCAGCCGTAGACTGGCAGAGCTGGGTGCCAGCAGCCCCCCTGGCTTGGAGAACCACCACCAGCACAACCACCACGATGACAGCCTTCACTACCGGGGTGAGTGCCTGAATGTGTGCGCACTCACATGTAATCTCTTGCCTCTGTGTGTGTGTGAGAGAGCGAGAACAGGAACATGTGTGAGTGTTTTGAAATCAGCAGTGGGAAGTATTCTAAGAATGTGCAGCGGAGTGACTAATATCATCCCACCGTTCCTCCATTGACTTATTTTTCCCCATACTCAGCATGAGAAAAGTCAGCAGCTTGAAAGAAAAGAGAGAACGACTGAGTGTTGTTATTAAATGGCAGGGAGGGGTTGGGGTTAGAGAGCGTGGGCCAGAGTTGCTCAGGGTTTGGTTTCCCAGGCAGCAGCTGGGCTCCTCTGGGGCTGCACTCCCTCCAGCTCTGGCTCCTTCTCCGCACTCTCCCCGAGTCTATGAGGAGAAACTGTTGTGCTTCATGCCCAGAAACTGCATGCCAGCATCTCTGAAGGAGGGCGGTGACACCATGGCACTGCCACTTAGCTGGGAAAAAGATGTAATGAATGACGAACGAGAAGTTAAAGAGAAGTTTTCATGGGACTGCTCATTGAGGCTTCCTGCTCTTAAAATAGTTCCTCTTGGCTTCGTGTTACACTTATTGATATCTCTCGTGTTGCTTAAAGTAATAACTTGGCTAAAGTGCTGTTTTATATCTAGTTATTCCATGACTAATGATGTCTGACAGGAAATTTTTATCTAGTGTGAGACCGTGTTCTGGGTCTAATTAAGCCTCGTTACGACGTATTCGAGTTAGTTACTTTTATATCGCCGACATCTTGGATTCATTAATGATCATTTTTATGGAGTTTGACAGGAACAAGAATAAAAGGGGAATTTTTGTTTTCCTGTTGCCTTGAATGCATTAACAGAACAGCAAATACTTGTGTCAGCTATCCAGATAATTTGGTGAGAAACTTTCAAAAGTTTCCAAACTTAACAAATAATATTTTACATTCACTGCATGCACAGAAAATTTGACTTGCTGAAAAAGAGAGCAACAGAAAAAAAAGACCTTTCACCTTTTGGTGTTTCTGTTCTGCATTCGAATTGAATGCATCTGGGAGCCTGTATGTTTTTGAGATCTTATCATACCCAGCCACAGTGGCTATTAAATGCACTTTAAAAGATATACAAGAGACTACCCAAGTCGGAAAAGGTCTAATGAATGAAGACAAGATATAAGTTACAGAGGACTAAAAGGTTTTGCTAATACTTGTGTTACAAATCCCACAACTTAATGGAAGCGAAACCATTATAGTCATTCATTGTGGGCATGCTGTAAAAGAAGAAGTACACACTGAGAAAATGGTAATAATAAGCTGACAGTTATTAGAGAAAAATACAGCTGCAGTTGTTACTGCTGCTCCTTTTTCTCCAATGCAAACAATTTATAACAAAAAAACTCAATTTTCATTAAAAGAAATGTTACAATATGCAAATTAGAGAACATAACAGAGATTATTCAGCCAGCTGATTTAGCCCTCAGCTGCTGCCTAATAGATATATTTTTCAATCCACCCGGTACACAGAGAGTGTAAAAGAAAAAAAAATATGAACAAAGCACTTTATTATTCAGAAAACATGTTTAAAAGTGAGTTTTTTGCATTGCCGGCTACAGTTGCTAAGATTTTCTTGACCTGTAAGCCTTATGCGTTGAGCACAGCATCAGGTGCAGGGACTACATGGGAGATTCTCCTCTTTTCTTCGAAATTCAGCCGATGCTGGAGCGTGATGGTTCAACTACCAATGGGAAAATGATATAAGATCCAAACAGATTAATCTGAGTAACAGATTAATGCTTATCAGATGGCCAAACCACGAGCAGCAGAGTGGCTTCACAAATCCTGAAAATTACTATGGCGCAGTCATTGAATCTATTCTTGTCGTGGCTTGAAGTATTATATATGCTGCATTTATAGTTTGTTTGTTTGTTTTTTGCGATAAATGTCAGTTCAAGCCCAGTCTGAGTGTTTCATCTGTGTGGCTGCTGCAGTGAGTTATACATGTTGTGTTCATCCAGCTTGCTGTTCTGACTCCCTCTCAGTGTTAACAGGCAGCCTGACATTCCCACATTCCTGAATGTCAGGGTGGTGATGTCATACTTCCTGTTCCCAGAGGCCAGGCTCGCAGTCAGGTGACTGATTAAACTAAACACACCCACACTGAGAACCGCTTGGCTTAAACATGTTTTTGTAAGTTCTTAAGTTTAGGCGTTTTGGGGTGTGATGAGCCAGCACCATCGTCCAGTGGCTTAGTGAGATTAAATGTTCTTTAGGTGTGTATCCCTCTCCAGGCCAGGCTGTTCGCTTGCCCGTTTGTTGGCCGTGCCCTGTGAAGGATAAAAGCAGAGTTTTTTGTGTGTGTGTGTGTTTTTTTTTAATATGCATGAGCTGACTTCCTGTAAATATATTACACTGTGCCAAATGTCAGAATTTCTGCTGTGTTTCAACTCCCTGTGGAGCTACAACAGCATCTCTGACAGACATCCAATAAGCCCATAAACACAGCACTTCAGCTGTTCCTGATGGCCTTGGAGTCCATTGTGGAGTCCTTCTAACTGAGCTAACCACAAGGAGCAAAGCATTAAATGAATCAAAACTTTCAGTCTGTTCACAGAGATCCAGGATTAACTTGGTTATTTGCTTTTGCTAATAAACATTTTGTATAATTTTTACACTTACCCTCTTTAGAAGATTTTCTTTATTTACCGGCATTTAAGAGTACAGTATAAGCATTCAACGGAAAGGTCTATGACTGGCTATTAGACATGACCTTTATTATTCTGTTCAGGCTGCTGACATTAATGTATTCATTGCCAGGACAATGAAACCCTATTGAGCCTCTCTCTTGATAGACCCAGTTGATGTCAAGACCTTGTTTAACGTCCCTAAACAATCAACTGCATTGCTGCTGTATCTGTGTTCCACTCAGCTGTTTGGAAAAAAGACATATTCATCTTCCTCTCAGTTTGTCTCAGGGACCAGAAGCGCTATGAAAATATCCTGTCCTCTAAAATCAATGTTAGGTAACCCTTATGGGGTTTTACATTATTTATATAAGCGCCTTGCTGTCAGTGGGTGAGAAAGTGCACATCGTGGACTCATGAGAATCTGCCAATTGCAATTCATAAGTCTGTAAAACACAACCATAAGGCAGCTGTTAGTGAGTCATACAGCTCGGAGAGTATGGATGACCTTTGGCTGCTTTAACGAGCAGAGGACAATAACACAAAGGGAGAGAGCACTGATGTGGGTATTGTCTATCAGTTGTCATTTGTCCTTGAGTATCACAGTTTGTCATTGTGGAAAGAGAATAGTTAGGACAATGCTTTTACAAAGTGAGTTATTTCAGACATTCACGGTGATGAAGGTGACGAAGGTGATGAACGTTATGAAGGTTATGAAAGTGAAAGTAACTGAACAAACAGAACATTTGATGACTTTCAGTTTGAACATTTCAAGGTTTTTGGGGAGGACGATGTTGCGTTTTAAAGACCTGACTCGCTGACACAAAATTAAACACACAAGGTAAGAGGTCAACAGCAACGAAAATGGAGTTAAATTAGACCTTTCAGTGAGAAAAATTCAGAGCTGGTAGAAAAGCTTAAAATTCTACTGCCAATAGCAAGTGGAAGCTAAGCGAGACCTAATGAACCGTTTGGCAGTTTAAATAAGTTAACCTTCGAATTTATGATCAATTTGGGGTGAATGTGGTAACTATTAAGGAGCTCTGAATTTGTTACTGCTCCGGTCCTTGCACTTTGTTCAGGTTTGCTGCTCCAGTGGCATAGTATAAAAACAACCCACCACACAAAAGGCAAAATTGATTTTTATAAATACTTGAAGATAAATGTTGTTGTAGTAATAAGAGTGATAAACAACTTCCTTCCTGTTTGAAATAGGCCGTCAGTTCTAAATACATATTCCTTTTTCTACGTGCGCCTTCTGCCTTAATTTTTCATGGCACAAATTCAACAAGGTGCTTGAAAAGTTCCTCAAAGATTTTCGTCCATGATGGCATCAGAGCATCACACAGTTGCTGCAGATTTGTTGGATGCACATCTATCATGTTAATCTCTCCTGAACCATGTATACAAGGCACGATGGATTCAGGCTTTCATGTTGTTAACGCCAAATTCTGACCCTGAAATCTGAATGTTGCAGCAGAAATGAGGCTCAACAGACCAGGAAACATTTTTCCACTCGTCTATTGTCCAATCCTGGTCAGGCCTTAATTAATTGTACCCTCGGGTTCTTGTTCTTAGCTGGCAGGAGTGTCACCCAGTTTGGTCTTTTGCTGCTGTTTCAAGGTTGAATGTGATGCAGATTTAGACATGTTCCTCTGCATACACTGGTATCAACAAGACATTTTCACCTAGAGAACTGCAGCACACTAGATATTTTCCCTTTTCAGACCATTCCCTGTAAAAACTTAAGAGATGGTCATGTGGGAAAATGCAGTAGATTAGCAATTTCTGAAACCAGCTTGTCTAAACAGGTGTACCCAATAAAGTGCTGAGTGAGTGTAGTTAAAAGTAAACTTTAAATACTAATACTTTCAGAATCAGATAGTCTTCCATCTTAGCATTTCTAATAAAGCTCCCATGCTGCATACCAAAATAATGTATTCTGAGATTGAGGAGAGTGGCAGTACAACTTTACACAGTGTACTGCAAGGCATGCATGCTGATTAAGTATTCACTAAAAGACCCCGCGATTATCTTTTCTCCAAAGAGGAGGAGCTGAACTGGCTCTAATGCTCTCTGCTGCAGAGTAATTGTAGAAAAGAATCCTCTCCCCATCTGGCCTGAGTTTGTTAGACGCCTAGGTCTCTCATTACTTCATCCAGCAGAAGAGCGGGGCTGGGAACACAGTGCCAAACTACAGCAGCAAAATCCCATTCACCCCAGCTATTTCCCTGTAATGCTCTCTGGACCACCCGCCTTCCTGTTTGCTGTCTGCATCAGAGCAAGTATGCAATGCAATGTAAGCTTCCCCCTGTATTTACCACCATGCGAAC